TGATTCGACTGTAAATCGCCATGGAAATGTTCTAAAAAACAGCATTGATTTTGCATATACCTAGCATTTGAATAACATCGCTGCAAAAAACCTAGGCGAACGCTTGTCTGTACTGTTACCATATAGATTATGCAAATCTAAGCGGTATGTGGTGCAAGATACAAATGGCAATGACACTTATTCTAAGGTGACCATTCTTACTCCTACTAGGCTGTTGCATAAGTTCTGTCCGATTTTTTTGCCTCATGTTTGAAGCAGCTGTTCTAAGAGAATTTCATCTCTAACTCGATACGGTTGGTATCATTGAAAAATGCTTTCCTTGCGCTTTCTAAAGCATACCAGAATTCAATAAAATTCTTAGTGTACGGAGATCACAGGCCTAAAATCTCTAAGTGGCCGAGGTAGTTCTATCCCTAGAAATATGTCCTTGCGAGGATATCTCCACAATGCGCCCTTCAAGTCAGGTTCTTTCATTGGCTTCGGAATAAGGGTATGGAATGCTAGTATATGCAGAAGTTCGGTCCCATGAAGAATACGTCTTGCTAGTGAAATTTATCCTCGAACATAAATCTTTGGTATAGATGTTTTACAAGCAATAACTTTCTGCGAATAGAAGTAATCGACAAGCTCAAAGTTGGAGGTGCTAGGGCAAAGCAAGAGCTAACAGGGCCCATCCACCAATTCCTTTTCGGCGCTCACGTCAGTTGTAAAACGTTCGTAGTTCATAAATAAGCATGCACACATGTGCTGAAGCGAAGTCAAAAAGTGGCTAATTTTTTGTTCGGTCAAGAAAATCTCTCGGCAGCGCAAACCCTATGGGCTCTTTTATGTTGCATAATAATCTACGAAAATTTCTCTATCCATCCATTATTAGAAAAGATGCCTATCAATTTTCATAAGGGAGCGTTACCATGTCAAAAAAGACAGATTCGAAGAAAAACGCTGCGAAGTTTTTGCATTCTTGATTCTTCCTTAACAAAGATTTGCGCAGATCTCAATATGCATTTTTTAGCCAAGGGACTGCTCAACACATAGAAACTAAGACCTTGGAAAAAAGTTGACTCTGAAAGAAGTTATGACATTTTAAACTCAAAAATTCAAATCGGACAGAACTTATGCAACAGCCTAGTACATCAGCTGTTTGACATTAGTGATCTATTTTGGCTAAATCTAATTTAATTTAGATTCTAACATTGCTTGTCTACCATTTTGTTTCTGCCTAAAAATACCTGTTGGAAGCTATTTTAGTTGTCGTACACTTAAAAAGCGGTTAAAAAAGTTGAAAAGTTCTGAAGACTATTCTGCTGTCAAATGTCAAATGTCAAAAAATCGTAAGTATTAGGTTGATTCATAATTAATGCACGTTTTCTATACTTCAATTTTCAACCAAGATAATTCTTTGTTGAAAAGATATTTCTGGGCGCAGTAGAAACTACTGTAACCATCAAATCAGTGGCTATAAAATGGATACTTCTCCGTGACTGTATCTACTACAAGACAGATTTTCTGGCTTGAAGATTGCCAACAATTTTTTTCAAAAGCCTCTACTTTGAGAGAGCATAACTCATGCTGAAATGAAGTAGGACAGAGCAGACTTTGCTCATCGTGTAGCCGAGGGTCTTTTGAGCAGTAACGCCAAGCTTGGATTTTACGGAAAATTTTTGAAAGAAAATATCGCGAAAAAGTCGAAAGCCTCACTTTTTTTCTGGCATCCCGGCGACTTCAAAAATCGGTCATTTTTTAAATTATTTCATTTTCCTCCGCTGGAAAGTGGGAAAACCCTAGCGCTTTTCTACCATCAAATGAACTAGGTCTACCCTTGCTGGATAGTGCGAAAGACCTGCAGTCGCCTCTTGCTTCAAAGTTTTATATGGCACGGAAGGGCCGCGACGATCATTCAAGTTCGCAATTAAATTTCTCTGCTAATCCATGGAAAATTTTGTTCAAATAGCATCTTGTAGCACAAAGTTTCCTAATCCTAATCCATATTTTTTGAAATTAATACGGCTATATCTCATGGATTTAGGGCAAAAAGAGTGAAAAGCAAAAATTTTGGGATTTAGTCTCTTTTATTTTAAGTCTCAGAACTTTGGAATGAACGGAGATGTACGAAAGCGAAGGCCCGCTTAAGAAACTAGAAAAAACGTTCTTTTAGAAATCGTAAAAAGTTTTTGAGGAAATTGATTACACATCAGATACCAGCTCTTGGAAGAAGAGGTAGGAAAAACGTGCATTAATTATGAATCAACCTAATATATTGAGAATGGTAGAAAGTGAACAAATATATACGCATGTAACACCGGTATTTTGAGCAGAGCACACTATATTGAGCGCAAAATCAACTCGACTGGTGTAATCAGAAATCAGTGCAGCATTCATGCAATTAAATGCTATTTCCTGCTAATAATTAAGAAGCCTGTGAATCGTTTGATGATGTTAGGCGTACAATTCGATACTCGGTGATCAATTTAACTATCTTTCGCCCGAGCAGTTTGGTAGGGTACCAAAAAAGGAAGTTAGCTTTTAGGGTAGTCCAATGGAACTTAGGCTCAATTTGCAGGGTGTCCCAAAAGTAAGTGCACATTTTTCAATCTAATGCCCTAATTTTACGCGTACAAGGCGCGGGGGATTTTTTTTCCATAATTGACTAGCCCAAATACGCCAAAGAACTTCGCAAGCAAAGGATCTTGTGCCGTGCTCTGTATTGCTTAAGAGAATCGTACGGCATAAGGATCGCTTTCTGAAATAAAGCGGCTAAGGGGTTTGGTTGAAAAATCGAAAAAGGTGCGCTTTGTACGCGTGAAATCAGGGTACATCTTTTCCCATTAAATCGTGTTACGCCGTTTAAATACCATTATGTAGAGGAGGCTCAAACTTAGATTTATGGTGTCGAGCGAATCACCGATCGCTCTTCATTACTGTAAGAATACGGTAAGAACTTTGACAAGGACTTTGGACCATTGGAGGCTATATTCTGCCTCGGAACAAAACCAAACAAGCCAAAATCTCATACACAATGGTAATGAAAGCCTCTGATTTCGAGTTTGAAATCTCTACTTTACTGTGATGCTTCATTTCGAAGACTATCCCAGGTAGACCGTGATAACCGAATTCCAAATTGTCAGAAATGTGACTACACCGTCAAAAAAGCTGAAAACACTCACAAAAAGTTGTGCGTAAAACCAGCTTGCGCGAAACCCGCACACAATTTTTTTAGGTTTTTGAAAAAAAGTTGTCAGATAGCATATTTCAGAATGGTTCCACATGCTGGAAGTTTTCACAGTAATGTTACAGTAAGAAAAAGCGATCGGTGATTCGCTTGTTACCACTAGTCAAATCGCAAGTTGAAGCCTCCTCGACAGAATGGTACGTGAATCATGGAAAAATACTCAACGGAAAGATATTAACGATTGAAAGTGTGTACTTACTTTTGGGACACCATGTATAATGATTCAGAAGCTAAGGTTGTTTCTGCGCTGGCTGAGAGCTCTTGACAATTAAATTGTTTCAGTTGAAAGATACCATTAGGGTGATCAAAAAGTGATCGGGCACCTTGAATATAAATGTAATTTTCTCAAATAAACAATAAATTAAATGCTCAAGTTCCAGCAAGTGTGAGTACACATCAAAATCTTGATCGATGTCTAAGATGGGCACTGTCCCATGCGATTATTTTCATAAGTGCTTGCAATCAAAGCGTTACCTCAAGTTATTTTGAACTTTGAGCGGCACCGCCGCAGTTGAACAAATGAGGCTATCAAATATGTATCGCAGTGGGTGAGGGGTCATCAAGTCCACAATAGCCTGCTGTCGCTAAGCTTCGCAACAGAGGATAGAGTGTTAGGAGATAAATTATTTATTCTCCCATCAAGATAATCGAATGAGCTCACCTTTGACTGTTAGTATCCGGTAGAGCTATGGACACTTTATAAATGCATCTGTACTCGAAAAATTGTGGGCACACACACACTTTTAGCCTGGAAATCTGTGTTTTTGTTTTATCCAAAAAAAGAAGCAATTTTGTGCACTCAAGTAATCACTAGAAAGAGCTTGAAAAGTCCTTTGAACCGGATGGCGCTCAGAAAACTCTGTCTGACTACTCCGGAGAGCCACCCGAAAGAATGTGGGAGTGAAGCTGCAAGGTGCTGCCAAATTAGCATGCGAAGGCCACTTTAAACATAAGCGTTCAAGTTGGGTTGTTTACATCTGAACAAAAAGATTACATCTAAAATAGTGGAAAAATCAAGGTGCCGCTATACTTTCACCCTAACGTTATTAGATAATGAATATGACATCTTGTTATACTCCATACTTGTGCATGAAGGAAGATCGCATATTGAAGAAAAGGGCTGGTTGACTTTCATTTGGTGCTCTAGGATGTTACTAGCTTGAATATGCATAAATCAATGCAATATCTCCAAATAAATGCTCCCATTTGTTGGTATTGCAAAGGAAGTAAATTTTAATAATTATCAGGCAAGTTATTCCCTTTTAGACTAAATTGTGTAAAAAACTTAGCAAACAATGCGCAAATAGCGCGCATATGGTGCATAACTGAGGCTTTCTGGCAAAATAACGTAAGTTTTGTTGTTGAATAATGCTACAGTGGTCAAGTCTAAAAAGTAAGTTCTGCGATTAGATGCTCACTGAAAACTCCTAACACTTTGAGCATGTATAGAAATGTATGACCATTTTTAAGATACAATAGTGAGAACTGCTTCCATCTATCTTGTACCTGTTGATGGTTATCCCGTTAGAGCAACAAATACCTGCTACGGTGCGTCTTTAAACCTTCCCCATCCTTTATTCGCTGACTATGGTCGGTACGCAAAAGACGGCTTCTTTCAGAATAGTAGTAGAATATAGTAATTTGTCGCAATGCACGCATAATAATGGGCTTGTCATTGAATTCACACCCTGCCATTTTCTGGGTCTTGAACTTTCGTCGTCAGTGAATGCTTTACATAATCCTCCTGTGGTAATTTTCATGACTTGTAGGCATGTCAAGTGACTTGTGGATAGGCTTTGCAGCTGCTTTAACAGCGTCGGTTCTCTTTAGCACCGTCTTCGTTCCTGTCAGAAAGGTTGATGCTGGAGATGGTAAGAAATTGCCTCAAATTGCTTTGTTTTTAAGAAGATTTGCGGAAACGTTCAAATTTAGCAATTGCATTTTTTAAACAGTTTATCGTGCAGCTGATCATAACGGTAATTTTTACTTTAGTTCTGGCAGTAGTAATTTCTATCAGCTAACAGCTAGCGATTCCGGTCTCACCCGAAAAATTCCAAATTAGCTTGCTGAAAGAACATGTGCTTACTCTTTTCTGAAATCCATCGTGCCATGCGCGAAAAGCGCTTCGTTAAAAGAGGGTGTTTACTCGCGTAATTGCTTTCGAATCTCATCCCCCTGACCTTGAGATTGAACTGAAATAATTGATTATTTTTAGATGATTGTATGAAAATGCGTTCAAATCGCGCTACACTTTTATTTTCGTGGGTGTAAGCAAACAAATCAACATATCAGTTAGAGCGGTCCAGGCATACCTTCGATAGTCTAGAGACAGGGCGTCAAAAGTGAAGGTTGTTTGAACATCTGGGCCGGTAGTAATCCCCCCGACCTGGCGGCAGGTCTCGTCGGCAGGTTGCTGGCACCTTTCCGCGAGGTGGCCAAAAACTAAGAACCGAAATTTAGGCCGTCCCAGGCCTTTTTCCAAAAAATTTTCTCGATAAAGTTGCCGCCTTGACTCTGTAGAAAACTTCATAACAATCTGCGGCTCCAGAACTCCTCCTTTAGTAAAATATCTGGAATTCCAGGAGGAGCTGCCGGCAACTTCGCGATGTCAGTTGCCGGCAACCTGCCGGCAGGTTGCCGGAATCCGCGAGATGGCAGCTGCCGGCAGGTCAGAGAGCACGGGAAATAGCGTGCTCTTTTGAGAGAGCGAGCTGCCGGCACCTCGACATGCCCCTACCACGTCAAGGTGGTGGCACCTTTGCTGACGGCGTCTGCGAGTTTGCGAATTGCGGCGATATCACACAATTTACGTCAGGCGAAAACATCAAAAATTCTACTTTTCATCAAAAAACTATCATTTTCCTCATTATACGAGTTTTTCTTTTTTAGAACGACGATTTTCTTACAGTGAAAAAATCCAGTAATGCCTTAGAATCATAAAGAAACATCATCTTTTTTGGAAATCCCTTATAAATCTCGTTTGCACAGATTTCGCCTCTCTCTCGCTCATATCAATCAGCTGTTCTTTCAGGTCAAAGTCTCTCACGCAATGTATCGATCCCTCTTACAGGCAGCCATTTACCAGCGCGTTCCTCCTATTGCTGGTGCAGAGGGCAATGGCTGACCGAATGGTCGAATGGTTAACGTGGTGGCACTTCAAGTTAACACGCATAGGTTCGACCGCGCGCGAGGTAGCAATTTTGCGGCTGTCTGCGTCATCAAAACTTAATGTGCGAAATGAGTGCGTGCTAAGGTTACATAAGATTATTAAAACCTACAATCACTGCTGCCGGCGGAGTTGGCATCTTTCCGCGATGTGTGCCAACTTGCCGGCATCTTTGATGCCACCAGGTAGGGTAGATTACTACCGGCCCTGACCTCATAATGGTACCCTTTTCTTCGCTGTTTCGAACTCAATTTTAGCAAGCTATATATCATTTTCAAGCTCTTAATCTCTATTTTTATGCTAACAACGTCCCAAAATCACATTTTTTGATTTGATCGAGAAATCTGGCAAAAACCTCGTTTTCAAAAATCTCTTGTTTTTCTTCTAGTTTAACACTTTTCGCGCGGTTTTTTCGTGCATTCTATAGATCTTGCTACTGCTCATAATGCAGACAACCATTCAGCCCTTATCTCTTCGATCATGGTGGAATTCCTTGCGAAATATCGTAGAAAGTGCGTTTTTCTTTACCTTGTTCTTTTCAATGCTTTCGCAGCGATTTTTTTCAGCTTGGGCGATTGTTGCTCACAACAATAAGCGCAACAATCCAGAAACGTCCCAGGAAACAGGAACGTCAATGCGGGGTAAAAATTTAAAGGCGTCAAGAATTAAATTTGGCTTCGACGTTCTTTTCAACTTAGTAAAAAAGAAACTTTGCGTTTTCATAACTAATTTCTTTCTTGTTTATCTTCTTTTTGATAACCACTCCTTCCAAAACATGTTTTTTGAAACAATCACAAAAAAAGAAATTAGCTCTTCTTCGCTTTCCCCCGTTGTTGCGAATTGCTGGTCGTGAAACGAAAACTTGCGCTTTGAAAAGCCGCCAAATGAAAGATTTCAAACCTCATTGCAGCGTTTTCTTCCCTTTTTCAGCAGTTTCTTTTTCTTTTTATATCTGTTTTACGCCATTTTCTCTTCTCCGATATTCTTTAAACAACCTTCACTTTATATGAGGTCAGATGTTCAAACAACCTTCACTTTTGGCGCCCTGTCTCTAGACTATCGAAGGTATGCAGAGAGCAGAGAGTGCTGAACCAGTCGACAAATCCTATTTTTGTTTCAGTGTGTTTTTTCCTATGCAAAAAGACCCAAAAATGTGCCTACAGTTTGATTGTTGATAATTGTCGCGTCCAATGCAAGGCGCTCCTCGAATGGAGGCCGGAAGCATCGGTTACCGCGCTATCTAGCGACGATAACTGTGGCTGGGACTCATGTTGCCACAAGCGTCTCCGTCTTGACCTCTCCTTTATTGGCTTGTTGACAGCAGCGGCTGTACATAGGGGCGGCGCCTCAATTCAATGTATTGTTCGATTTTGTCTTTTTCGATCGGTTCACCTTTGAATTGTATTTCAACCGCTGTGCTCCTGTCCTGTAAGAGCAGTTGGACCGAACGACTTTTGGATTGGGAAATAGATACTACCATTTAGCATTCTAGACGCGCCTTAGTGAGGCTGAGCGAAATTATTGTTGATTTGGAACTCTAGCGTCTATAGGAGCCGGAGGGGACATGGCGTCGTCTACACTTTTGGGGCTGCGCAGTGAATATATTGCGCGAACTCTCGAGAGCCACAAGTTTGAGATCACTTTTTAACGCGCATTGGTAGCATGGTATCGGCCCTGGTCCCGAGTTTGTTACATTAGTAGTAGTAATTTGCTCTAGTTTAGTGTTTCGTTTCTTGTAAGTGCTGATGTCTCCAGGATAAATTAATCAAACTATTAGGTTACACCACAAGTCTTTCTCAAAACCAAGGTATCTACAGGAGTGCAAATTCGTGGGAGTATTTCTGAGTAAATAAGCTCTATAACACATATCTGCGAGGAGCATAGACCCGTTACAGGCGAGGTTTAAAAATTGAGCGAATTATTTCCTTCTCGATTTCTAGCCATCAAAAAAATGCAACAAATGCATATACAAATATCTAATGGGGATATTATCTGCGTGAGTAATTGGGAACTTTGCAGAATGTTCTGAGCTGAGACACGATTATTTTCTTTTTTCATGATTTTGGATTTATTCCCATTTTGTCTATGTTGTAGTCCTTGACTTCCTTGGGTTGAACCGGACACAGTGGAATACTTAGTAGTTTATTAGCTGACCGAGAATAGTGAATGAATGCGAATGAATCATCAATTGGCTATGCTACAGTCTGCTCCAATCGGGATCAGGCCGAACCGGCGGCCTAAATTTGCGCGCTAGCAGCGCTAGCGGTCTGCGCTGCATATGCGCGCTGTCGAAGAGAGCGAAAGGACTGCAGAGAGAGCAGAGAAGCAAACCGTGGGCGTGACCGCGAAAGACTAACGACGCGGACTCCCGCCATGCCAATTTTGGCCTGGTTGGGATTGGGGCAGACTGTACCTATATATATACACACATGGCTGTGAGAACGTACCTTTCGGTACCAGGCACCGAGGAGAGCTTCATGAGAACAGGCGGGAACTCATGGGAAAGAGTTTGAATCTAGCACAACGAGGTATTAGGGATCGAAACAGAACAAAAACAAGGATAAACGATACAAAACAATTACTACATGTATATATACATCACTCCCCAACAGTCTTGAAAGTCGATACGGATCAAACCTGGTACGAACTTATAGAGCCATATTGTAGAGCTTGGTTTGGTCTTTCGAATGGTGCCCCATCCCATTAGAAATCTAACAAGGGAACAATCCCAACATAGGGTGGCGAATTGGTAGGAACCGCATATTGTTAGATGCGTCTTGATGAGCTGATTCCAAATCTACCTTTCATATCTGCGACACCGGTCTCTGCAAAAAGTTATAAGCGTTTGAAAATGTGAAATCACTGGGGTTTCAACTTAATGTGTCCTTCAAAATCCAACTTGAGAGTGTTTGACTAGCATCATATTGAATGTACTGATTTCAAGGAACGCTCACATCCAAAAAAAACACGAATGAGTGTTTTTGAACAACTAATTCTCGAGTTATGGCGCTGTATATTTGTCAAATTTGCACTTCATTATCCATAGCTTTTACCAACGAACTTTAGTTGCTTTTTAGTTGTTCAAAAACACTTCTACACTCCCAAGTTGGATTTTGAAGCACATTATGCATTGAAACCCCAGTTACTTCACATTTTCAACCGCTTATAACTATTTGCAGAGAACTGCATCGCAGATATGAAAGGTAGATAATCAGCTCATCAAGACGCATCTAACGATATGCGATTCATATCAATTCGCCACCTTAAGTTGGGATCGTTCCCTTGTAAGAAGAGCAGATTTATGCTGTTGGAAAGTCAGATATAAAAAGACTTGTGGGACAACCTGATATCTCATGTTCTTTCGGTCGCGCGTTAGGTGCGAGCCTATAGGATAGATTCAGGCGAGCACTAGGCCTCTGTTAACATCTATATGTTTTAACTCCACCGTGTCACAACAACAACTCATTTTTCATTAGGTTTTTCAAGAAGGTATGGGTACCATTTTGCAAGCTGGCTTCAACTTAGATTTGCAATACGAAGCGATTTACCATTCTTTTGATTACTGTAGGATTATGGTAAACTCGCAGCATCGGCGCCATCGTAAGATGGGCGTTCCAAAAATTTTTTTCAAAAAAGTCTGAAAAATTTTGTAACGACTTTTCCTGCATGCTGGTCTTACTTCATAACTTTTTGCGCGTTCACAGAGCTTTTTAAATGACGCAATCAGATTTTTGACGAATGTTAGAAATTAGTTGTTACTGTATCTGCCAAAATGAAAAAAGCATAAAGGTGAAATGCGAGTATCATATTTGAAATCAGCTCTCCGGTAAACTGGTGTAGAAGTTTTCTGCTCCTTTAGCCCTGTTTGGGGTAAAATATGACCCTAAACGACGCAAAGCCTCATCAAAGTTCCTTGCCGTAATCCTAAAGTGACGAAGAGAGAACTCCTTCATACTACAAATCTAAGTTGAAGCCAGCTCAACAAAATTTTACCTGAAGCTTCTCAAAAACTTCATGATAAAAGACTTATTAACAGTCAAATAGCTCAAATAGTCATTAGTCAAATAGTCAAATAGTCATTTTTTGGGAACACATTATGTCCCATATTCAAATTTGAGAAGTTCTTTGCAGGATTTTCCGCACATATGTTCATGTGCATTGGCGCGTTTCTGGCAAGCACCTTTATTCATGGTCTGCTTGGTTTCCCTCCGATTCAAGGTCTAGCATTGTTTGGTGGGGTTGTTTGGAGCATAGGTACCAGGCTTTCAGGCTTAGTTGCGCGTCCGTCAAGTTGAATGTTTAGGTAACGCTTTTGTACTCCAGATAATGAATCATCTGGGCATGGCGCTTACCACTCTCGTATGCAGCGTGCTCTCATGTTTAACGGGATGGGCAACGTCAAGGTAATTCCTGTGAGGCTTGACTTAGCACTTCGTTTTGTTTCAGATATGGACTTCTCGGTCTGCCCGCAGCTATACCTGCAAGTGTGGCATTAAACTACTTCGGGATAATTATGCTGGTGACAGGGTAATCGTCGCTTTTTTCTAGTTGAAAGTAATTGCAGAAGGGCGGATCTGAAAGCGGAAAATCATATTTTCCTCAAAAACTCATGTAAATTGATGAGTCAGAATTTTCAAAGTGAAAACTTCAGCGGGGCAATGTATCTCTCCATAAAAAACAACGAGCAGGACACAAATCAAAAAAAGGTGAAGCATTATGTAAGATGTTCCGTATATGACTGCATCGTTTATACAGGATAATTCCGTAGCCATTGTTGCCGATAAGAGGAGCAATTCGCGAGTAGAAAGAGCAGTGTGAGTTATAGATTGCTTTATCCAAGCTAATCAATGAGTATGTTGTCAACGCATTAGGGTGTTCCTATAATTTTTAACCGTCCTTACCCTAAGCATCAGCATTTCTCGAGAAAAGGGGCACCTACAAAGGCAAATAAATCGTACTTCTGTACAGTCTGCCCCAGCTGCCTCAGTCCTAACCAGGCCAAAATTGGCATGGCGGGAGTTCACGTTGCTAGGGTTTCGCGGTCACGCCCACTGCCTGCTTCTCTGCTCCCTCTTCATTCCTTTTGCTCCCTCCGACAGCGCGCCTACGCGGCGCAGCCCGCTAGCGTTGTGAGCGCACAAAGCCGACGATTCGGCCTGATCCCAATTGGAGCAGACTGTATGTATGAGCTATATGATCACGTGCGTGGGAGGAGCTTAGAAGGCCTAGGGGCGGAGTTTTTCCATTTTACTCCATAAATTTATTTCTTTGTTTCTGGCCATGGATTAAGTACTGAAAACGTGAAATTATGTGCTCGATGTGTGAAGCATATGCTAGGATATTTCAAGAATCAAGATTTTTTGTGGCGGAGTTACACTTTGACTTTGAGGTTTGTTTTTGACTGCTATCACATTCCAGGTCGAAACTTCAAGTAGAATAAAATTTGGTTGGACTCCTGAGAGCCATCTTAGAATTTGCTTTTTCCTTTTAGATGATTACTCAAGCCACATCAATTGAGGGGAAGATACAAAAAGCCGACGGTTGTAGCGAAATCCGTAAAAAAATTATGAAACACCCTAATAATAAGCCTTGACGTGAACGAATAGTTATCATGCTTAACAATACTATTATATTTTTAGTTATGTATGGCAAACCATCATGCATTAGGCTGTCCTGGAAATTTTGTTTGTTCTTCCAATCGATCATAAAACTTGAAAAAAACAGACTGCGAAGCGGCTCAACTGTCGTTCGCAAAATCCCCTCCTCTTTCCAGTAGCTATCCTTGTCTGTTGTAATCTTCGTAAGTGTCGCCATGCCTGACAGTCGACCACGACATCAAAAGTTCCCCAATTCTAAAATCTCTTAGCATTTTGAAAGTGCCTGGTAGCTTTGATGTAGCGCGAACTTTTGATTAATGGATTTCTTCGTTAAGCTACTGAAGTTTTTTGAAGACTGTGCTATCAAAAATCTTAGCATTTGAGCACATGCAGCACATGTAGCACACGGAGGCGTAACAAAAATTTTAAAAGTTGACTTTCTGAAGCAAACCAGATGATTACTTTGCATAAACGATGACTAGGAACAGTAAACTCTAATTCTCCAAAATTTCATAGAATTCCATGTTTTTCCGGAAACCACGCGTTCCATGTCTTAAGTAATTCGAGATATTTAAAGGAATGGTTTTGAAAAACTCACAAGATTGAGGGGATACAAATGCGTTTCTTGTGGGTCATCGTTCTCCGTAAGCCTAGAATAAAAGCCTTGGAATCATAATTTTAGGGGAGAGATGATTCATTGAACACATATCTGAGTGCTTTTTGATCATTATTTAACAAGGTTTCATAATCGTTCAAAAAGCGGACAAGACTTTTGTGACACTCAAATAACTTCACCTACTCTCAGGAGTTTTCTTGCCGCTATGCTCTGTGGATCGCTTTTTGGATCGATGTGGACACCGATAAGCTACATGAAGGTCGGCCTAGGCAATTTGATGTGCGGCACTATCACCGAAACTTGCTAGAGTTTTTTAGAGTCATCCGGATAAATTTCCTACGGCTCCTGCAGATGGCATCTCTTATTTGTTTGCATTTTACTGCGGCGGGCTTTGCATGGGAGTATTCATTTTCATCATCTACAGTGCAGTAAAGTAATCTTTTTTTCATTCTATCATGCAGCGTAGCCATAGGTATCACTTCAGGAAGAACAAACCGTGGATTAATCCAAGTGGTGCTGTTCCTACAATGCTCGGTGGTGTCATATTTGCCTGTGCAATGAGTGCATTTGTCATTGCTATCGATAATCTGGATCAATCAATCGCATATCCCATTTGTGCAATGGCGCCAAGCATGGTGGTGTTGAGCTGGAGCATCCTTTACTTCAAAGAAATTACGGTATTGCACTTAAAGGCAGCGTCCAGGCAGATCTGGACGTATGGGGCTCTAACGTGGAAACAATTTTCGGGGGTCTAACTAAGATACTGCCCAAGCGGCAGCGCAAACGGTGCTGTCGCGGCTGAGAAATTCGTCAGCAAACAGCCCCCGTGACCGTATTCGCATGGGTTCGTGGCGCTTTCGCGCTAGGACCCACGCGAAACTGATGTGCTGAACCATGAATCCATGCGAATACGGTCACGGGGGCTGGTTTGCGGACGAATTTCTCAGCCGCGACTGCACCGTTTGCGCTGCCGCTTGGGCGGTATCTTAGTTAGACCCCCGAAAATTGTTTCCACGTTAGAGCCCCATACGTCCAAATCTGCCTGGACGCTGCCTTTAAGACACTACTGGCGACAACCTTCAAATTTTAGGGTCGGCGAAATTTGATGTGGTTGGCGAGTGCATACGGGTTTACTCTTGTAGGAGTAATGATTATCACGCTTTCGAAAGAATACTCACTCATATAAGCTTTGATGTGAGTACCACTAGCCAACCCAAGAGCTGATACAAGTTTTATAATTTGCATATCAACTTATGAGGATTAATGGAGTAAAGAATACAGGTAATAAAAATTTGTATTCCAAAGAGAAGATCCTGGAACATGAAAGAATTTGGGTGGGAATATTCTTTTAGACATATAATTACGCTCAACTGACTCTCCGAGCATAATTAACGATGCTTATCTTATATATAAAGCTGAATGTCTGCTTGTCTGTATGTCTGTCTGTATGTCTGTACGTATGTTCCGAATAGAAAATTCCATTTCTGAACCGATCCGGACCAAACTTGGCACACATACACTTCGGGCCCCGGCGGGTGTCATAGGCTACTTTTCGTCATCGATCGATATCGATTTTATCGATTTTTATCGATTTTTTTGCTGAGTTCACCTACGGGGCTGGGAGTTGGCACAGGGGGGGGGGTAATCGAGCATGGGGATTCCGAATACAATATTGGTTTTCAGGATTATCGATTACTTTTATCGATTTTATCGATTTTTTTGCAAAGTTTGAGCTACGGGGCTGGGAGTTGGCACAGGGGGGTAATCGAGCATGGGGATTCCGAATACAATATTGGTTTTCAGGATTATCGATTACTTTTATCGATTTTATCGATTTTTTGCAAAGTTTGAGCTACGGGGCTGGGAGTTCGCACAGGGGGGTAATCGAGCATGGGGATTCCGAATACAATATTGGTTTTCGGGATTATCGATTACTTTTATCGATTTTATCGATTTTTTTGCAAAGTTTGAGCTAGGGGGCTGGGAGTTGGCACAGGGGGGTAATCGAGCATGCTGATCATCCCCAAGGGGGGTGATCAGCATGCTCGATTACACCCCTGTGCCAAATTCCAGCCCCCTAGCTCAAATTTTCAAAAAATCGATAAGATCGATAAAAGTAATGGACGATCTTGAAAACTAATATTGTATTCGTAATCTGCATGCTCGATTATCCCCCTGTGCAAACTCCCAGCCCCGCAGGTCAAACTTTACAAAAAAAACCGATAGATTCGATAAAAGTAATGGACGATCCTGAAAACTAATATTGTGTTCGTAATCAGCATGCTCGATTACCCCCCTGTGCAAAATCCCAGCCTCGCATGTCAAAATTTACAAAAAATCGATAAAATCAATAAAAGTAACCGATAATTCTGAAAACTAATATTGTATTCGGAATCCCCATGCTCACTTCCCCCCTGTGCCAACTCCTAGCCCTGTAGGTGAACTCTGCAAAAAAATCGATAAAAATCGGTAAAATCGACATCGATCGATAACGAAAAGTGGACTGTGACACCCGCCGGGGCCCGAAGTGTATGTGTGCCAAGTTTGGTCCGGATACGGCGGAGCCGGGTAAGCCAGCTAGTGTATAATAAAAATCTCATCTTTTTGATTTATTACTGTGTACAGTACTGGTGAAAGGGAAAGAAAAAAATTACTTTTATTATACATAAAAAATGATTATCGCTTACAAACATTGTAAATAGTAAACTAAACATGTGTGTAGTTGCAGTGGAAGCTTGACCATTATTTCTCTAATAATAAGCTCCAGCTAAGTATTCAATCACAGTTCTCCGAGATGATTGCAGTTATTCTGTATGTTTTCAGTTTTTATTGTGCAGTATGTCGTGTGCCGTTGGTGCCGTTGGCATCGATGAATTACTTATATTGATGCCTGATGTTTCGGTTTGACGACGTCTTCAAAGACTGAAAAAGCGTCAGATAGCGTTGATGTACTTTGACCGTCAAATTCCTTTCACTTGCCATTCGATTCATCCAAGGCACAATACAAACCAAAATTATACTGGTCAAGAAGACGTTTACAAGGGAACGATACTCAATGTCCGTGGCGTTTTGAGACGAAATGTATACCATTACACTCGCCTTCGAACGCTGATTCCGAATCTGGCTTCCGTTTCTGCTAATCGTTTCTCTGAAGGAAGTTATGGAGGAATTTCGAGCCAACTTTATCCGCCCAAGGGTATGGTCACCAGAACCGCCTCTACCGCCGCCATGTTATTGTCTAGTGATCAGTGTAATAGCCTCATAACTTGACACAGGTGTAGGTTCAAATCCTTTTGTGTATTTTATTTTGCACTACCTCAATTAAAGTTGTTCGAGATTCACTCGAATTATGGTCGTTGGATACATTTTAACGCATATAGTAAATTTCCAAATTTCCACATTTTTCGAAGAGTAAATGCGTTCAGTTAGCTCGAAGATGCGAAAGAAGGTTTATTGAGGCAACGCAAAACTGAAAAACAGTGGATGAAGCCCAACTCCAAGAACAAGCTGGATTTCGCAAAGGATTCATCTGCGTGGATCACATCCAGACGGCTTCGACGCTCATAGAAGACCGTCGAGATTACCGACTGCCTCTCGTCGTAACCTTCGTCGACTACGAAAAAGCCTTTGACAGCGTCGGTACCAATGCCACTCTGTCAGCGTTAGTCGTTAAGGAGTGTACCCAGCTTACGTGAGGACTTAGCCGACCGCTACAAGGACTGTACAACAAAGATGCAGCTCTTCCATCTCCCCTGACCATCTCAGTTGGGAAGGGGGTTCGACAAGGCGACACTATTTCGCCGAAGCTGTTCACCGCGGCCTTGCAGTGGGTGATGTAGTCACTGGACTGGGATGAGAGAGGCTTACGAGTTGATGAGAGATTCCTGTCGAACCTTTTTTTGCGGACGACATCGTTCTCTTTTCTAGCAGTACCACTGAAGCAGAGACGATGCCGAAGGAAATAAAGAAGTAGAGAAAAAGACAGGACTGCAAATAAATTGAAAAAAGGCTCAGTTTACGAAGAACTCTCTTTGCGAAGATGCAGAATTCGAAGGCACCCCTATCACGGAGACGTCTTCTTACGTGTATCTCGGACGTTCGATGAACATGGAGACCGACTTGAGGAAGGAACTTAACAGGGGAAGAAGAGCAGTCTGGGCTGCCTTCAGCCACCGACCAACTGACGGACCCGGGGCTTCGTGCCCACCTGTTCGACTCAACCGTTCTCACGGCGCTCTATCGCACAGCTGATTGGGCTGATACTATAGTTACGTCAAAAGCTTTATGGACCACCCTCAGAGCGCTCGAGCGCAGTCTTCCAAAGATGACCCGACACAAGCAACTTCTAGTCGGACTTCGCAGTACGTATATGAGAAGAATGTCCCATCTTCGTGACCCAGAGGAGTACGTTGCGAAACCGAAACACCGATGGGCTGGTCACATCATGAGAAGAACAGACAACAGATGGACGCTAAGAACATCTAAGTGGATTCCTCGCGAAGCGAAACGTTCCCGAGGAAGTCCAGCGAGATGGGGCAGACGTGTTCGTGAAACGGATGGACCAGCTGAGAAATTAGCTGGACACCTGGAACTCGTGGACGCAGCCATCTACGGCATCAAAGAAGATCGAGGATGTTTGAAGCGAGGGACAGGGACGGAAACTTTTGTGCTGGGGCCCCCACGCCACGTGAAGACGGGTCATCTAAGTATCTAAGTAAATGTGAAAATGTGGAATTCTTGGAAACATGTAGAGTTCGAGGGAGCTGAAAGCGAGAGAAAAGCCTAGCAACTACTATGAACAAAAATTAAGCTAGATCGAGATGCTATCAACTTTTGCCCTACCGTTAGGAGGAACTTACGGACATCAACTGTATGTCACAATCGTGGAAGCTACTTTTCAAAGAGTTGCTTTGAGAAAAATATACTTGCTTTTTTCATCTTCGCAAACGGCTGCAAAAACCCCGGACTTTTTTTGCAAAGCTGCTTTGAATGGTAAGAGCAAAGATAAAACATTTGGAAATAAACCATAAACTCAATTAAAGGTGATTTTTTATATTAATACAACTTATTTGATTTTTACTGACAAATCACATAAACATGAATACCGTTTATTCAGTAACAACTTTTACATATCAACCTCATCACAATGAAGTACAAAATGCTTGATAAACCCGATAGCTAAGAACAAGAAATGAGGTCATGTGTTCAACTTTCCAGATAGTCCACATTTTCAACAGATGAGAAAGAAACTAGCAAGGGAAATGCATGCTTTCTTTGCGGAGGACATGGTTCGTTATGCTGGTCGTCAAAGATCCTATGATGGGAGATCTACTCTGTGGTATAGGGCCTAATTTCTTGAGAATAAGTGCGTAGATTATATTTTGACGTGATATGTGGCTAGGTATGGGGGTGCGAGTTAAATGAGGAAAGGGCAAGTCCTTCCTTTTCGTTATTGAAAAAGTGTGGCATCGATACGAAATGGTTGGGAGCAGATCAAATGCTTGAAAGCGCTCACGTCGACACCAGCCAGGTCATCTGGGAATATCTGCAATAAAGTGATTGAAGCAAGTTCAGCCATTACTTGGTGCGGGACCTTTCGTACCACTACCGTATGCTACCGCGGGTCCTGGAAGGAGAATCACTGCGCTTCGTTTTTTACCCTTTTTTAACAATATCGCAGCAGTGCACACGGTATATATTATGTTATAGCGTTGTTACGGTAGCATACTGTAGCGGTGCGAAAGGGCCGTTCGTCAGAAATAATGAATCTATTGAAAGAAACGCTTTTTATTATTCACTTTTAATTATCAGTTGTCTCATAACAAAAGTAATCAATAGTCAAATTAGCAATTTTCTTCAGTATAAAGACATTGGAAAATAAGAAAAGCTGCTGCTTGAGGTACATGATATACGTTTTCTGATCTATCGATGATAAAATCTACGCTTGAGGTTAATCTTCTTCTTTTATTACAGTATGGAAAACATCTAACGTTTGAATACTCATACATGAAAGGATCGGGGATAAGGGGTAACGAGAGAAGTGGAAGTGTTGCCCTAAGGAGATAAATTTCGGCAAAATTTCTTTTGAAGAATATCAATTTTTATTCGTTTTTTACAGTTTCTATCGATAATATTGCTAGTTAAGGTCAACCTATAACAATATTCACCGTGGCGATGGTCCCAGAATTTTCGCTTCAGGGGGGGGGGGGGGAGAAAGGAAGGGAGGAGCGACCAAGAATTCTTCAACAAAAGGGCTAACGCCAAGCACTCCAAAAAAATGGGATGCTTCTCAAATTTTTGCTTGCTCATGACCCTGAGAAAATAGAGAAAGGGAAACGAGGGGACAGCCACGCTCTCAAAGATGTTTTTTACAAGGCTAATTTGAATTTTCAGAAATTTCAGAAATTTATTTTGATTGTTTGCATGTATAAATAAGTCACTAGCGCAATTTTATCACCCATGTAAGTAACTCCAAAGAATTTCGCTATCCAATCCGGGGGTGGGGGGGGGGAGGGGAGGGGGCGCTTCCTCTCCTCCTAGGACCTTCACTGCTATTCACTACAAAACCCAAGTAGATCAAACTGTGTTACATCAAAAAAATTTTACGCTGGTAGGTCTCCCTGTTGTCGCATTATATTAGATGCGGAACTGCGTTGAAATGTAACCTCGCAAACCCACTAACAAGGAAGTGAATGGCGCGAATGTCTATTTGGGTGAGATCATAAGATTTTACTATCCCCATTTCCGATGAGAAAACGATTTATCGCGCGATGACGAGTCGGCACACTCTACTAATCGTCTTGCACCCACTTCACCTTCAACCCGACACGGTCACCACGAAAGAATGTTTACACCATGCTATTGTTATTGTTGTCACCCCCCCCCCTCCCGCTTGTGTAATAAACAACCTGATTCGTCAATTTCTCGCATTCTTGCTTGATAACAAGCGATGATGACGCTCATAGACGTTAGCTTGACGAACATACACTCAAACCATACACGCCGCGCTCACTCTTGCTCTCAAGGTTACCTGGCCGTACCAAGCGCGCAACCACAGCTGATTCGACGGCAGAAAAACTCAAGCGATCTGAGAAAAACCGCTTGCAGAGGTGTGTGTGTTTGGTTGAACGTCGGCCAAGGCTAAGATAAAGGCAATGTGTGTCTTGAAAAACGAGTGAAAAAAATTTGAAGCTTTGCCAGCGACCTGATCTGGATTGAAGTGAGCTTGATATGTTCACTTTCTTGGTATTTTATTACGACGCATCTGACTTTGATCGTGCTTTATGCTATTGTACTCACTCAATAATACTCCCTCAATAACTCACTTCAATCTTTATCGGAATGATTAGCATACGGAAAATTAGCAAAACTTCACGATACTACTACGGAAAGTACTGCCGCTCCGCATTGAGCTGCGACGCGTTAGTCCGCTGTTTACAGCACCTCAAATTGATAGCCTCAATATTATTTTGAGCATTTTCGCGCATCTTAAGTAAATTTTTGAAAGCATTTGCATATCTTCAAAAATAAAGCAACCTTAAGAAACGAAATAAAAGTCAAAGCCGCGCCGCTTTTGAATGCGACACGTTAAGCCACTGTTCACAGTTTCAGCATTATTGCTAGCCAAAATTAGCTCGACTATAACGAGGGAATTTTACTCTGAACAACGAACTCCATATTCCCTTTGCTCTAGCGGTCACATATTTGTAAAAGGGTAGGGGAAGGGGAGAGATAAAGACAAGAAATTAAAAGGGCTTGGCTTCGAAAGGAATGCTTTTGAATTTTTACCCCGCAAAATCCCGAAAGTTTTTCTAAAGCGGGAGTGACAAGCCTACCTAGATATTTATTGATTCTCATTTTTTTGACTCCTGAAGCTATTCACTATACAATAGGAATAAGTTACTTGCATGATTTTTTAGCTCATGTAAATCTTCGAAATTTCGTGTTCCATGCTCGGAAAAGGGCACCGTTATTTTATGTGGGGGCTTTGAAGCTGGTTAGGGTTTTAGCCAGTAAGAAGCAAAACTGATATTATATTTACTTTTATAATTAGGGAAGGAAGGAAGAGAAAATATCCTTGATAAGAAACTCGTATGAAATTAAAATCAATAATTTTGAGACGGCCTGGCTAGTTTACCTTCTCTATTACAAGGCCTTCGTTGTACCCTTACAGTAGTGGCGCACCCAGGATTTCGGTTCGGGGTGGGGCGACAAAAATTTTTTTCAAATGAAGGTGCGTGGCTTCAGCCACGCACTCTGAAAAAATTTCAGGGGGCTTCCCAAAATTTTTGCGGGCCCCCAACCCCCTGAAATCTGGAAAAGAGGGGCGTGGCGTCAGCCAAGTCCCCGAAAAAAAATTTTTTAAGGCTAATTTGAATTTTAAAAATTTTTAAAAATTGTTTTAATTGTTTACAAAAGTAAACAAGTCACTTGCACATTTTTATAACCCATGTAAGTAACTTCAAAAATTTCGCGACCCGTTCTCGGGGGGGGGCGCCCCCCCCCCTCGGTACGCCACTGCCTTATAGCAGGCGCACCCAAGAGTTCGGTTCGGAGTGGGGGCGACAAAAAATTTTTCAAACGAAGGTGACTCCGAAAAAATTTTAGAGGGGCTTCTCAAAACTTTTGCGGGCCCCCAACCCCCTGAAATCTGGAAAAGAGGGGCGTGGCGTCAGCCAAGTCCCCGAAAAAAATTTTTTAAGGCTAATTTGAATTTTAAAAATTTTTAAAAATTGTTTTAATTGTTTACAAAAGTAAACAAGTCACTTGCACATTTTTATAACCCATGTAAGTAACTTCAAAAATTTCGCGACCCGTTCTCGGGGGGGGGGCGCCCCCCCCCCCCTCGGTACGCCACTGCCTTGTAGCAGGCGCACCCAAGAGTTCGGTTCTGAGTGGGGGCGACAAAAAATTTTTCAAACGAAGGTGACTCCGAAAAAATTTTAGAGGGGCTTCTCAAAACTTTTGCGGGCCCCCAATCTCCCGAAAAAAAATTCTTTATAAGGCTAATTTGAATGTTTAAAAAATTTTAAAAATTATTTTAATTGTTTACAAAAATAAACAAGTCACTACCGGTACGCCACTGTCTTTTAGATAATTTCCAAAAAACCCAAATGGACCTGACCACTTATTACAGTATCCCGAGCATGCATTCGGTTTTTCTCACAAAACCCTTATGGACAATTTTCTAGGCTATGCAAACAAGTTGGCATCCCAAAGGCAGGCGTCCTTGAGATAGCGCAAAGAGCACACAAAAACAATGTTCCATAGCGGCTGAAAAAAATTGGACAAAGCGGGTCAGGGTGAGCTTGACGCAAAACTAGGCCTTTTCTTTATCACCAGCATTATGGCATAAGTTTGAAGAGGTTTTTTTTGGCGAAGAAGAGCTGCCAAGATGTTCTTTTAAATTTCGGAAGCAAGAGAAAATCCAAACATCGTCCTAAATTTTCGATATTCCATACTGCTTTGCTAGGTTTCAATTTTTATTATTCCGTATATTCTATTGTTTGTCTAAAAAATCATACAGATTGTGAGTGCAACATAGAATTGGCAAAAAGGGCTGTCAAGTATTTTCGTTACTGAAGGAAGAATTCGCAGCTATAGTCGTTTCATTTGCTCATCAGTTTGTGCATTTGCACACCAGCTGTTCGCGCATTCTAAATTAGCATTAGGTCATGCTAGCTTTTTAACCTCAGCTCAACCAAGAGAGAAGGTTCATGTTTTACTCTACGTCGCGTGTTCAAAAGCTGCGCAGTCACAATTTACACCAAAAGTGTGCAGCTGCACAAGTTGCGGAACAAATGGCTTGAACTACAAACCCTTGGACTTCGCATTCATCGAGTTTTTCAAAATTTTCATGAGGCAAAAAGCACCAACCTCATTATTATGGGCTCCTGGTGGTGGAATATGGTACATGTATCCATATCTGAACTGAGGAGGCATGTTCATCGGAGTTACTTGTGGTTTTACGTCCACCTTTTCATCAGGTTCATCAAGCCTCTGTTCAAGTTCCATCACTTGTGAGACATAGTCGACAAGTATCTAAAATTGCGCGAAAATCACTTCATCATATGTAAGAAAAAGGGGAGGGAGGTGGTCTAAGCATAACAAATGAGTCAATATCGCGATATCCTTCGCGAACTCTTAAAAATTTAGAAGTTCTCTCTTGACATGTCCAGACACGATTTTTGATTGACGGACCAGTTGCACTGTAGTGTTCGATTGGAGCGCGCTTTCTTTCTTGTGCCCCACATCTTGAAAGCTAATCAGTGTCCTAACAGAAGGAAAAAGGATAGTTTCCTGCCAGCTTTAATTTGGAACAAATCTCTTCCTGTACACATGCATTGCGACCCCGCCCGGGGTCGGTCGCGGGCTATGTGAGGCTTGCTGTGCAGGCGGCGCGCGCACACGCGTAACTGGTATCGTTTCTTTCGCGTGAATGCCGAGAAAAAACCGGTTTTCGCCGAGGAAAAAAAGCGGTACCATCCAGTGCCATTCGCGCAGCTGCTAATCATAAAAGTTGTGTGCTGGCTGTGGCTGTGCTGACCACTGTAGCGCGCTGAAACTCGACGATGAAAACTTTCAGCCAGAATTTCGATACTTTCGGCTTGTAGGAGTACTGTAGAAGAGATCTATGAGCTAGAGGTTTGGTTAGACGTAACTGAGATAAAGAAATTGGGGTTGGGAGGTGGAGGGGAGGGGGAAGGGAAGGTGAATGAGTCAAGAGGGAAAAGGTAGCCTACCCTGAAAGCATTCCTTTCCGAGCTGATTGCCGGTACTACACGACGAAGTCGTTCAAAAATTTGTATGTCTCTTGAGGTCCGGATGGCCGGATGTGGTGAATCAGGCAAGGAGCTGAAAAATTTACGATGTTTTTGACATTCCTCCAAGGATTTCTGAGATTTTATGATGCGCAATGGTCAGTGGCGTAGTAGGACGGATAGTTTACCTTACTGAACTTGGGCTTGGTTGGGAACAATCAGATGAGCAAGTAGATCCACCACTGAGACGTCTCATGCGGTAAGGGTGATGGCGAGGTGAGGTCTGAAGGTAAAGAATAAGGCTGGGATAAACGAAGAGAAAATTTGAATAGGGTTAAAACGGGCGGAACTGGTTATGTGCTAACAAGAGCCCCTCTCTAAAAAGGAACACGAATAGGTAGCACCGAATTAGCGATGAATACGAGAGCTACCGAATCCTGGTAAACTCTAGGTAAGCTAATCACGATTACCTAAACTTGCACAATTTTTAATTTACTGCCTAGACTACTTGGCATTTCTCATCACTCCCCCCCCCTTCTCACTTCCTTTACAAATATTCGCTTCCGACAACTTCATTCCTATCTCATTACATCATTTTAGCACTATGGATATCAATCAAGATCGGAAAATCTCGTAGTGACGTCTGTGCACTTTATTACATTTTAGATCACGATCAGAAAAAATGACGAGAATTTGGAGATTAGGAAGGGGTAAACCTTGAGGTATTATTTCATGGTTACGGTAGTGGTACGGTAGCACATGTTTGAGTTGAAGGTAGGAGAGGTGGTGGAGATGGCGAGGTGTAAGATAGGCGCTTACCTTGTCCCAATCAAGTATAAGCCGAGTTCGTTCACGAATAGCGGTAGGAGATCTGCTGGCCGATTTCTGCATTTCGCTAGCTGCTGCGCGACTTCCGAGATGTGATATCCGCGAGATTACGACGACGACAAATCTAGCGTCCGGCTACGGAACGAAAGCGTGTCTGTAGTGCGCGCGGCTGCCTGGGATGCTGCTGCCACCCGGACGACGACGTTAGCGAATAGAAGATGATTGGTTGTGTGTATGTATGCGTGTCTGTATGCGTCTGGTGTGCAGCAGCAGCAGAAGAGTGATGTTGGCTGGGGTGGGGGGACGGTAACGCGAAAGATATTCGCTCTGTGCCAGGAAGCACCGGCCTCCTCCGTCGGCATCGCCCAGTCGAGCATCTCTATAGCATCGTGTACACTTTCCGCCGTTTCGATTCTGATTTCTCCTCGTCCGCTGCGCATTCTCGTCGCGCCGGGCCGAGTTTCCACCGTACTATTTCGTTTTTACGCTCACTATCCGACACCCTCTCAAGGCCATACCCAATACCCGAAAAACGCGCGGAGCTCTCTCTGTGTGTGTTCTCTATGTAGATGTGATGTGTGCTTGACCAAGCTAAAATTGCATAAGAAGCAAAAACTCGATAGAGTTTTGGAATGAGCGTAATGGATTACGGTATCTTATTGCAACAGCTGACGAATAAGCACCCTGGAGGGAAGGGAACGCGCCGCGTGGTAAACCGCTGAGAGCTCTTTGCTTACGGTATGGGAGTTGCCGCAAGCGATGTAAAGGTAGATCACAATTATGATCAAATTTTCAAAGTAAAGAGTATACATACTTTTCGACAGACAAACTCGTACACCTTATTACTTTCATTCCCAAGCACAGGTTATCTAGAAAAATCCGAAGATTTCATTTGATCTATGTTTCTTGAAGAGCAAAACAACATTCCCATAGAGATCATCATATCTATAGCGCGGATCTCAAGTTTGCGCACAAGTTGTTGCATTTATAGGCATTATGTAAATCCACAAAATTCATAAGTATTGATCCCATGAAGCTCAGTCAAGAATATTGCGATGCTCAAAGAGAACAAAGAACAGATTGTATTCATCCAGTTCTTTTTCCAATCCATTCGAGGTAGAATTACACGATGATTTTGCTTGATTGCGTGAATAACTACTTAAAATTGGATTGAAATGAATTCTTTTTGAACTTTTGCTTTCATTTGTAGTGAATATATAAGAATCAATGTCCTTCTTATTCAAGATGTATGCAAGGGTTTAGTGATTGACCACATCTTCGCACTGATGACTACTGGATTCAGTTCTTTGATTTTCCCTCTTATTCGTTGAAGACTCGCAAAAAATTCATGGGCGTAATCTGGGAACTAAATGGGAATAAAGGACTAAGTTGAAAATTATCACATTGGTCTTTGCAGCAGTGATGTACCCAGGATTTCCGTTCAGGGGAGGAGGCGGGGAAGGGGTGAACTCTGAAAAAATTTTTAGTGCGCTTCCCAAAATTTCCCCTTGGGCCCTAATCCCGAGTGGCGGCAGCCACGCCCGCAAGAAATTTTTATAGGCTAAATTGAATTTTTAAAAAGTTCTAAGAATCAGTTTACCTAGCTGAATGGGGGAAGGACTAAATTAAAAATTAACACATTGGTCTTTATAACAATGGCGTACCCAAGATTTCCATTCGGGAAGGGAGGGTGGGGCGAACTCCAAAAAATTTTCCTGATATGCTTTCCAAAATTTTCGCGGAGCCCATAAGAGCCCGAGTGGCGGCAGCTACGCCTCGAAAAAAATTTTTTTATAAACCTAAATTGAATTTTCAAAAAGTTTTAAGAATCAGTTTGATTGTATACAAATATAAACAAGTCACATGTATATTTTTATAGCTCATATAGGCAACTTTGAAAAATTTCGCGACCCATTCTCGGGGAGGGGGCCTCGGTACGTCACTACCTTGCAGACATATGCATACATTTTCTTTCCTTCTGTCTCTCCCATTCGATTTCTCTCTTCTTTTTCATGTACCAGCAGTCCAATGAGCCCACAAAGGTAGAATGATATAGAATTCAAAATAGATTTGATATAATGATTTTTCAGGTGTAAATGTACGTCGCAAAAATTCTCGGATTAAATTTTGATTTAATTTGGTTTTGAGAGTATGGGAATATATGTCTAATATATATAAAGAATCATTAGCTCAATCCAAAATCTTCCAATAGCGGGAAGGCGCGGCGGGTCCCGAAGCGAACGCCCTTTCATATAGCACTTTTAGATTACTGTTTAACTAGTACTAGGAAAAGCTTGGTATTAAGCTAAAGACCAGTTTTTTTTTAACTTTTTGGTCTTGAACGAATATCAATAAAAACAAAGTGGTTATATGCGAAGTTACAGAAAAATGGCAATGACAGATCTTTCAATCACGAAAAACTTGCAATGGCTGATGTATGATTTCTCTTAGATTTGAAAACAACGTGCAAGAGGGACTTTTTATGTTCAATCATCTATAGTTCAATAACTGAAAAATGTTGCCTTTCAAGGAAACGTTTTTCGATTTTTATGCTCAATTACCCATTATATCTATACTTTCTAATCAAAAACAATCCATTCTCTTCTCTGATTGCCCCACTTGATTACCTTTCAGTCTCGAGACGGTTTTAAAACTTCCTAACTCCCACTTTGTAAAGTAGATCTATTCGAGATTGTGCCAGTACTGCATCACATAGTAATTAATCTTTCTAGCACTGCAGGAAATAAAATGGTTTTTGTACTTTTTTGAGCGAATTTTTCAAAGAAATTTCTTAGCATTGACCAAGGGCTAGCCAAAGCTCTTCATGGTTTGTTTTATTGATTTTTCATAATAACCAGAATAATCGCATAATCACCTGTGAAAATACCCATAATAATCATGACGCACTTTCTTTGCGCTCGGTGATGTAATTCACTCTGCAAAATCGCTGTTGTGCAGCGTTTTTCTGAAGGTCACCCTAGGTGCGATCTCAATGATCGCAACGCGGGAAGTTTTCGAATGAAACTTGTTTGTTTAGAAACATTTTTTTAAAGAGCTTTTAGCACATGCACTGGCACTCAAACCCATTTAGACAGCCATTTTAACCGCCTTCTGGCTGCAGTCTGAAAAAGAAAAAAGAATTTCCGGTTGCGGGAACAAATCTGTGGTGAACATTTACAACTGTTAGTCTTTGCATAATCTCTTGTACAAAATTTATAGTGTCGGTGCTAACTAGTAAGTTGCAAAAAGGCACATAGGCAAGATCTGACACATTCACGACAAGGCAGACTTATGATTACCGCCGTTTCGGACCGGAGACTTTTTCGCTTTGTCAAAAATACGACCCACCCGTGGGTCATATTGTCCGCAACGGCAAAACATGTACTACCCATTGGTGGGTCGTATTGTCGTGAATATGTTAAAGCATGTAGGTGAACTAACGAATGCGGCTCATCTTACGGTAACGAAATTTCAGCGTTTAATAATAGTAGGTACCTGAGTTTTTCAATAGCGTAATGTGATGAAGGGAGAAAATCCCCTCAACTCAATCTTGCTCTATCAGAAAACAGTGCAGTGCCAAACTCGCGCAAGAGGTAAAGAGTTGTTGCATTTTATGATACCTCTACGAAGGGCTATTGTATGATTTGGGGTTCACAGTTGTAGCTTTAGAAAAACCACAAAATATGTGGACAAGACTGCGCGCAACACTTAGGTATGGTTTCAAAAATCTATCCTGCGTCAAGAAAATTGATTATTTCATATAAGATAACATGCACAGTGATAAAGTTCTCAGGTACAACATATTACAGTGGAAAACCTAGAGATGTATAACGAAAGAATTATCGGAATTTAACCAAAGATAGTATTTACCACATACTGAAGAACTGTAGATCAATGGCAGAAGCGCGAAGAAAAGAAAGATTTCAAATCGCGTTAAAATTAAGTTCACCAATCAAATTAAAATCCAGTCAAATCCAAAAAATTATCTAGAAGCTCTGTGGAAGGAAACAGTAGTGAATCCAGCGATAATCATGCTACCATATTTTTCAAATGTTTCGCAAAGGTGTGCAAAGCGATTTCGATTCTCCTAATTATGGAATAGTAGCAGTGGCGTACTCGGGACTTCCGTTCGGGAAGGGGGAGAGGCGACAAAAAAAAACTTTTTGGATGAAGATGCGTGGCGTTAGCCACGCATTCCAAAAAGTTTTTCTTGGAATGATTTCCAAAATTTTGCCATAAAGCCCATAACCCCCAAAATTTCAGGAGAAAGGGACGTCGTGGCAGCCACGCTTTTAAAAAAGACTTTTTTACAGAGATGATCTAATTTTTTTAAGTTTTCAAAATTATTTCAATTATTTACAAGTGAGTACAAGTCGCTTGCACGTTTTATAGCACATGTAAGTAACTCTCAAAAATTTCGCGACTCATTCTTGGGTGGGGGGGGGGGGGGCGGGTGCCCTTCTCCTCTCCTCCGCCCCCCACCCCTCCGTACGTCACTTGATAGGAGGTACCACTAACACTTTGCAGTTGATTACTTACAGCATCCACAAATATCGGGAATTCTTCGTAGCAAACATCTATCTCCCAAAAATAATTTTGCTAAGACAGAGAAATCATTGAACAAGCTTTTTAGCGTTTCTTTTGAGCAAAAAAGTCATCGGATTACTCGCATAAATGTCAACAAGGACAAAAAGCAACCTGAAAAGGTTTTGTTTAACAACTTGCCCTCCTACATTAAGCGAAACCACTGGCTAACTATCTGAACATCCCTTCTGAAATCAAAGAGCGATCTCCCAAAAATAATTTTGCTAGACTGATTCCCATGTTTATTCGCTTTCTTGCGACTCCATTTGCGATCTGCGCAACTTTCTCCGTCGTGGTCGTAAAATGAGCTTTTGTAATTCACTGCTTACCATGGCGGTCATTTCGTTACAAACGGAGATGGTTTCTCTAGAGCTGAATTAGTCTCCCAATAAACTTGGAAAGTTTTTAGTCTTCGTAGTTTGTAAAAAAAATTTTGTACACATGTGGGAGACAATTTCTGCCAGAGTATGGCGCAGAAGTCATAATACGCTTCATTACGCTGGACCTTGTTTCCCGGAGCAAAAGCAAAAGGGATTCGCCTGTACAGCGTAACCTCCTAGCCCCCAGGCCTACCTCACGCGGATTCAGTCGAGAGATTTGGCAATACAACAAGGCCCCGCATGCACTACCCGCGGAGGGGAGGGGTCTGAAAAGAGACGCGTTATATCTTGCTACTCTAGATATCTTTCTTACGCTCTTTCTATCTGGCTTATGAAGGT